AAATGTTTTTATTTGTTTATGTTACCATCTCAGGAAAGATCTACCTGCTTCCTTTGACCAAGTGAAAGAGGCATTACTTTATGAAGAAGGTGATGAACCAAAAAATAAGAAGACTTCTCTTCCAAAACTCAACAATCAACTTCCTTTTGGCAACATCCTATCAGGAGATGAGGTAAATAAATAAAAATAATACTTTCCCATTATTAAAGTGGTGTTCAGGCCTTCACCTGAGATATTCAATTCCGAAAGCCGAGATGCAATAAGCATCTGTCACATTCAGCCGGCAGTAGCCAATTTCCTGGATATGAAACACAATATGCAATTTTCTGCTTTCATGTGGAATTTGTCCTGCACATACAACTTGAAATTACAAAGGAATAAATATCCCTATTTTGCTTTATTTGAAAATATGACGACAGTGTAAAATCTCAACATCTGTGATAGTAAACAGCATATTATTTGACTGGCAAGTAGAGCAGTTCTTGATATCATTTTCCAGCTAAATGGAGGGGTACAAAGCCATCTGCAGCCACTTTGTCTCTTAAGCCGGGAACAGCAAAACGTTCTCAATGTTAATCTCACATTTACATTGTCCTTTTTGTCTCATTATCTCTCCCTAACAGTCTGTTTACATGTGCTGATATTGATTTGACTACAACTTTCTTTCCTAGAGAAACACTAGAGATGTAGGTTGTGGAGAAGAAATAGCACTGCCCTTTTTTTACCAGAATGATAATGTTTATTTTTTTCAGGATGAGTACTCGGATGATGACCATGCTGCCCTCTCTCTCTGTGGTTTTTCACCGGTCGAATGTCTGTACTCCGATGAAGAGCTCATCCTGGACCAGATCAAGGATCCTAATCCTGACGAGAGCACCCAGACTGAAGGTGGATAGATGTGTCTGGTGCTCTTGTAGTCTTAAGGGCAGGGAATAACTGCTCTGGACTTTTGGATTTCCGCCTACTTATTTTGGTCAATGCTCTTCTATGTCCAGGTCACACAATAGTGGAATAACTGCAGGTGTAGTCTGGACAGCAGAAGCAATTCACATCTTGCAACACAAACTGAAAATGATCTTCTCAGACCTCAATACCTCATGCTAGCAATACTGAGTAAAATAAAATAAAAAGACGATTTGGACTTAATTGTCTGTAAAACATATGCAATAATGCATTCTCCATTTGCTGAACTCAACCTTACAGATAGATACAACATATTTAATTTGTTTTGCTAAATGGTTAAAAATATGTATTGTCCTTTTGACAAGATTTTAAATGACAGCGACTGAAACTAAGGACTACAGGTATTACTGTCTGCTTAAATTGTTATGCCCTGATTCTGGAAAAAGTCTAAAAGGGTTTTTTAGAAAACTGCACTGAAATGGTGGTGTCCAAAATATATTTATCTCTAAATACAGCTGTTTTTTTGTTTTTTCACTTTCTCCTAGTTTGGAAAACTGACTTGCACAAGAACCAGATGGCAGCTTTAAGTAGTGAGATGTTTGACAACCTGCTGAAGATGTGTCCCGACTTCCATGGCTGTAAGAGCCACATGGCAGCATTTGTCTTGATAAGAGGTAAGCACTTTCAGTATGTTAGTTAAAAAAAATTTTTTCCAGTCTGATCTTCCTAATACAGAACACTGATGTCACTTCTTTATGAACGATTTGATTGGCTGCATCCGAATTGAGTCTCCATAGACATAGAAAACCTGACTTTAGGAAACTGTACAGTATTATAAATGATCGTCAAAAACATTTCTGTTCAGTTCACTCCTTTAAGGAATGTTACTCCATTCTCAGAATAGCAACATCCCTGAATTAATCACCAAGCTTGCCAGTGCCAACCACGATTTTGACATTTTGATGGCAAAGAGCTGCCATTAGTTATTTTAGCTTTTCTTATTCAAAGTCAAGATTTTTATTTTATAACCTCTGAATCTTCTGAGTCACCAGCTATGGTTTGAATGGAAACGGATGAGGAGGGTTTATGGATGTCCTTTTAGTTTTGATCGCAGCTTTTTTTGTTTATTGTTTAACATGTGTCATCCCTTCTTCACCTCGTAGTTGAATGCCATTTCGCACATCATTGTCCATGTCAAAGAAAGAAAGTGTCATTTTCCTACAGAGGTGCTGGACACAGCAGGTCGTCCATGTGAGCATTACACGCTGGTGGCGTTAGGAGCCGGCCGTTCAAGCTGCAGCAAGTGGCTCTGCTACAACGGAACGATGGTCCATGACTGCCATGCCATCATCATCGCCAGAAGGGCTCTCAAAAGGTACGAAACAGCTTCGTTGACCCCAGCACAGGCCATCATTTACAAGATCGTAACTTAAGTATGTATAAATATTGCCTCTTTTATCTAGTGCAGGCAGCCCTGATCAGCACACTCACTGTTTTAAACCTTTGATGGTGCTTGCGTGGCTCACACTGTTTTCTGGCTTGTGTTCAGGTTTCTGTTCAAACAGCTTCTGCTGTTCTTTGATGCTGATCCAAAGGCTAAGGAGAACTGTGTTTTGGAGAGGAGTGCAGACAGCTACCAGCTTCAGCTGAAACCCAACACCAGTCTGCATCTTTACACCAATCAGTGTCCTGAAGGAGCGGCTAAGAACCTCTACTTCAAGTACTCTTTTATTCCCAACTTTGGGCTTTGTTGAAAGAAGTCTTTTGCAGTCAGTGTGTAAATTGTCTTCGGATGATAGAAATCGAGAATCTCATCCAAGAAAAAAGCAATCTTTATTTTCATAAACTTGTCAATACATTCGCTTAAAATTAGAACTGGAAATAATCTCTTTCAAGTTGAGTCATATATAACTTCTTGTTTTTTTGTTATGTAATGCAGATGTACTATTTGGGGTTAACTAGTTAATATGGTTTAAGTTTGTAAAGTAAATGGGTTAGAATGGTTTCTGAAACACATCCGTCTTTCCTGATAAGGGGCTAGGGATGGATACCCAGCCCCGGTATTAAACGGGCCCCGGGGCTGAATTATTAAAGACCGTGGTACCGTTAAGCTCCGACGTTAGCGGTCTTTTTATCGGTACTGGAGACATGTACAAAATATGTCATGTGTATTATTGCTACACAAACATTATGTTGCAGTTTTAGTGTCGCCAACTCCGTTTCTAAAAAGACTGCAAAATGCGTCTATGTTTATTTTTAGTATTTTCGATCTCCCGTCTGTGCGAGGGGGCGGGGCAGTTTACACACACGCAGCTGCTACATGCAGCAACACACACACACAGGGGACATGGCGGAGAGAACGTGCTCCGAGGTGTGGTTAAACTTTACCCGTCTCGATGCTCGTTACCTAAAGTGCAAAAAGAGTTTAGCATGTAAGGGCGGTAACACGAGCAATTTGTCTAAACATTTAGCAAAAGTGCTCCACATACAGACGGAGAAATGCACCGGGTTCGACTGTCTTTCTAGTAGCTCTGTAGCCCCCCCACGAGTAACGTTTCCACGTCAGGTGTTATGTATGCTAGCAGCAACACACGGAGTTAACTCAATGATACAAACATAGGTTAATGATTAGAGGTAACTGAGTTATTTATTTTGTTAAAGTTTCAGCTATTCTGTTTACAGTTCAGTCATCACATTATTTAATACGATTTGTTAAAACGTTGTTGTTTCATTTGATGTGAAATATTATGTATTTAATTTAAATAAAAAGCAATGTTACCGGATCGATAAGCGGTATCGATAAAAGTAGTAGTACCGTTAAAACCTTAACGATACCCATCCCTATTAGGGGCCCTTCAAACGACATCTGGACCAGTATGAAGCTGCATTACCATTCCAAGGGCCTGCTGGTCCCTGTTGCCTACCTGGACCCGAGCCACTGGGGGGCCAAAGTGTGCTGCATGTCCGGGAGTGACAAGTTGTGCAGCTGGACCGTCACTGGGGTGCAGGGTGCACTACTGAGCCACTTCCTCCAGCCTGTCTACATCACTAGCGCCGTGCTAGGTAAAGAGCCTAAAGCTATTCTATATTTCAGGAAATACGTCTCTTTAATTCTTGGCCTAGAGTTATATGAGAGCTCTCAAAGTCTGGCATTTTACAGGTAGTTTAATTTCCAAAGCTGTTATAGACACTAAGTGAAATATATGTGAAGCTGTAATTGTATGACAATTTGGAATGGTGACTTAAATCATGTTACATGGAGTACTTTCCCCTGTGTGTTCAAATTAGGGCTGGGCGATATCTCACAAATACTGAGCTTGTTTTGATTATTTAGGGGGCCAGAAGTTCCTTTGTGAAGAAGTGTCTAACATCACCAACATGCGACTGGGTGATGGTTGTGAGGACATTCTGCCGTCGTCCTACAAAAAGAAACACAACATCTTCTTCCTGTGTGGCGACTACGTGGGACCGGCCGTGATCTNTTAGAAGACTAGTTTTGCCCGGCGCTCACGGCCAAACGGGAAAACCTGCCTCCGCGCTGCCCGGCCAACAAGCGTTTCCTGCGGAGCCAGCGCGAGCAGGCTCCCGTTTGCCTTTCACCCAACAACGACAACCGCCTCACGAAACGCTATGTTGTAGCGTTAATAAACGAAACAATTTAACAACATTGCTTGTCAAAGTACCTATACCACTGGACAATTTATTTTTTTTAAGCAATATTTTTAGTGGCCCGAGCGGGCAAGTGGAAAGTACGTTATGCTGGCCCGGGGTGTCTAAATAGTGCTTCCGAGCCAGCGGGCCATTTATAATGTCAAGCCCTGCTCTCTGTCATTGTACATGTGTGTAATGTTTGTGTGCAAGTTAGACGGGGCCTGCGTGTGTGCCTGCGTGTGTGACTGTGTCTATGAGGGAGAAAGGAAAGCTCATTTTGGCCGCGGCGGGAAATTGATTGGACAACATAATACTCGATGTACACGATGTGGTCATTTACGACATCGCATGGAGTGCAATCCACGATGTATCGTGTAAACTCGATATATCGCCCAGCCCTAGTTCAAATACAAATACTGAGCTTGTTTTGATTATTTAGGGGGCCAGAAGTTCCTTTGTGAAGAAGTGTCTAACATCACCAACATGCGACTGGGTGATGGTTGGGAGGACATTCTGCCGTCGTCCTACAAAAAGAAACACAACATCTTCTTCCTGTGTGGCGACTACGTGGGACCGGCCGTGATCTCCCCGAAGCACGACAGCCTCAGCGTCAACTGGTGCCTCGGGGACAAGGATGTTGAAGTTCTGGACAGCAGCGATGGCCGCATCGTTGATGGGTAGGATGCAGATTCAAATGTCACTCATTCTAAGAAGTAGTGTGCAGTAATGTGTCCCTGTATCAGAAATGTGAGTGTGAAGTCTTGTACTGTCCCTGCAGTGTGTCCTGACCTGACTAAAGCTTACCTCATTTAAACTGCAGCCACATCCAGGGACAGCTTAGAACTGCTGGCAGTGCCTGATGCTTTGTGTTTGTTGGACAGTCTCAGCGATGCCCGGGGCTTCTGCCATGTCTTGCTTTTTTAGAGCTGCAGACAAATGCTGATGTCCAGTAGCTAGAGTGTGACCCAGACGTGGCTCTCACTGGAGGCTGCGTTGTCCTTGGGCAGAGATTACAGCCCAAAATAGATCTGAGATCCTGCTTTGCGCTCGCAGTGATGCTGCATATTTCTGCTTCGGTGCCGCAGCCTGAACTAATAGTTTAAGGCGACACCATAGTTTAAACTGTCAGGATGAGCTCTGCACAATGTTCCAAACAATAAACTATAAATAGGCAAAGAAAAATAGGCTCCCTGAAAAAGGAGAAATTAAATTCAAGGGCAAGAATAAAGAGTGGAGGGGGAGGTGAAGAGCAATTGAAAGCATGGCAAGAACACATGCTGTACGGGAAAATACTAAATATAGTGTGAAAATGAAAGAAGACGCTGCTTCAGTCGTATGGGGCTTCTTCAATGTACTAATGTATAAGTAGCTTGCCAATTAGTCCTTATCATCTTTAGCAATAGATTTTCATCATTGAAGCAATTAATTGTTTGCTCAAAGTCTTTGCTTGCCCTAGCATTTATTGTCTACCTAGAAAGCATTCTATAAAATCCCACAATTCAATGTCATCATTATAATTTAACTAAATGCAACATGTCAGCCTCAGCTAACGGCTAATGTTAACTAGCTCTCCTTCTGCATTACAAAGTAGCATCGTCAGGGAAATACCCCTGATCCCAGGTCCATGGCGTACGGTAGAAAAATAAATACTGCTCTTGCATACTTCCACAGTAAATAACATTTGTTAAGGTGAAAATGAAGAAATTGGGAAATACGTATAGCAACAGAGCAAGTGTGTGTAAAGAAGTAGTGAGCATACGACTGGGGCTTTACCTCACCATTTGTGAAAGAGTTTTTTTAAAGACATATTTGTTTATAGTTTTGACAATAAATTCAACCCCTATTTATTTGAATACATGAGAGAACGATCCATATTTTCATTAAGTGGGTGGAGTATTCCTTCAAAATGATTTCAGGCACCCTGCACAGCCATCTGCTAAAGTCGGCTCCCATCGATGCTGTCATACCCGATACCAGCACAGAATTGAGTCTTTCACTGAAAACACTTCTCACCACCGGTCTGCCCCCCCCCCAGAGATTTACTGCAAGGTTTCCCAGAGGAAATAGCTTAGCAGCAGTGGTAAGTGCTGCCTGCAGGAAACTCTTCCCTCAGTCAGCCAGACCACATTTAAGATTTTTGCTGTAACAGCATAGAAGAATTGTCTTGCACAACACTTTTTTATGTTCAGCACAGCTAAGCCCCTGAAGCGGAGACTGCATCCTCCAAAATAGTGTTGGTGGTGGAAAACTTAGTTATGAGCAAGTCACTTAATGCAGTGCATGAACACACATTTAACATTTACAACTTTTGATCCTACGAGTGGATACTTGATACAGCACCCACCTCTCACTAAGTGTGTGTGTGTGTGTGTGTGTGTGTGTGT